CGGCACTTCGCTGCCTCCTGCTACCAGGACAGCCGCTCCCAGCAGGTTGTCTGCCAGTGCAGCCCTGGGTACACAGGTGGGTGCCTGCCGCAGCACGCTCGGTGCCCTTGGGGGTCCCCCGTCCCCAGGCGCTGCCCAGTACTCTGTGCCGGCAGGTCCCCGCTGTGACGAGTGCGCCCCTGGGTACTACGGGGACCCGCTGCAGCCCGGCGGGCGCTGCCTGCCCTGCCAGTGCCACGATAACATCGACATGACGGACCCAGAGGCGTGTGACCGGCGCACGGGTCGCTGCCTGCGCTGCCTCTACAACACGGCGGGACCCCACTGCGCCGAGTGCCAGCCTGGCTACTACGGGGATGCCACGCGGCACAGCTGCAGGCGTGAGTACCCACAGACATGCCGACACAGTTGCGTGCAGGGCCCAGCACATCACTGGAAACCATGTGTGCCCATGGCTGCCCTTGCTCATGCACAGCGCTGTGGGGTCCCTGCAGCTCTGCCCTGCTGTCTCCTGCTGTCTCCTCTGCCCAGCCCTGGCACTGCAGCCCCATCCTTGTCCCCCTGCCCAACTTGTCCCATCCCATTTACATCCTCACCTCATGCCCATTCCTGTCCCCGTTGCCATCCCATCCCCACTGCCACCCTGACTCTGTCCCCATCCCATCCTTATCCCATCTCTATCCTGACCCTGTCCCTGTCCCATCTCCATCCCATCCCCGTCAGTGGTCCTTATGCTGTTCCCATCCCACCTCCATCTGATCCCCAGCCCATCCCTGCCCAATCTCTGTCTCCATCCTGCCTCCACCCTCACCCATCACCATCCCCATCACATCCCTCCCTGTGTCCCTGTACCATCTGCACCATCCCATCTCCATCCCAATCTCATCCCCATCCTGTCCCCATCCTCATCCTGTCCCCCCCCATTCCCTCTCATTCCCCCCCCGCCCTGTCCCCATCCCTGTCCCTGCTCAGCCCCTGTCTGGTTCCAGGTTGCTCCTGCAACGCGTTGGGCACTGATGCCAGCACCTGTGGGCCCCAGCAGTGCCAGTGTGATGGGCGCAGCGGGCAGTGCCACTGCCTGCCCCACGTGGAGGGCCAGAGCTGCGACCGCTGCAGCCCCAACTTCTGGAACCTGGGCAGCGGGCAGGGCTGCCAGCCCTGCGCCTGCCACCCCCAGCATGCCCTGACACCCACTTGCAACCAGGTGAGATGCAACAGGGACAGGGGACGGGATGGGGCTGGGAGTGCGCTGCAGTAGTGCTAGCCTCGGCTGCGCCGTGTCTTTTAGTTCACTGGGCAGTGCTCCTGCCGGCCGGGCTTCGGGGGCCGGACCTGTGCCGACTGCCAGGAGCAACACTGGGGCGACCCGCGGCAGTTGTGCCGAGGTGAGAGCCGGTGCTGGTGGAGGGCCTGCAGTGGGCCCCACGGCACCCTGACACCGCTCTCCCCACAGCCTGCGACTGCGACCCCCGTGGCATTGCCAGTGCCCAGTGCCACCGCAGCAGCGGCCACTGCGACTGCCGGCCTGGCATCTCTGGAGTCCGCTGTGACCAGTGCGCCCGGGGCTTTGCCGGTGCCTTCCCTGCCTGCCAGCCCTGTCACCCCTGCTTCGGGGACTGGGACCGGGTGGTGCAGGACCTAGCCGCCCGCACCCGGGCGCTGGCGCAGCGGGCCAGCCTCCTGCAGCACACCGGGGCCGCTGGCACCTTCGAGGGCACCTTCCGGCGGCTAGAGGAGAGCCTGGCCACCGTGCGTGACGTGGTGGTCGCCCGCAATGCCACTGCCGCCACCGCCGCCCACCTGACGCATGCCATGGAGGGGCTGCGGTGAGCACCCACCGTGGGGCACAGCTCCCGGGGTGGCCTCGGTGGCAGGTTGTCACCCCCTTCCCTTGCAGGCGGCAGATCGAGGAGGCGACGGAGAGGCTGACGCGGCTGGAGGGGGAGCTGACGACCACCCAGGACGCCAACTTCAATGCCAGCCACATACTGAGCGCGGTGGACCGGGGCGCTCGTGCCCTCAACCACAGCCTGCAGGACCTGGAGCAGCGGCTGCATGCCCTCAAGACCTCCAATTTCATTGGTGAGCTGTGCTGCAGAGCCGGGCCGGGGCGGCGGGGCTGTGGCCGGGGGTCTGACGGTGCTCCTGCTGTCCCCAGGCGCCTACGACAGCATCCGCCAGGCCCACTGGGAGTCACGGGAGGCCGAGCGCCGGGCAGATGCCTCCACCCGTGCCATGCCCAGCCCCATCAGTGCCTCGACTGCCACCCGGCACCGCACTGAGCAGCTCCTGGCCAGCCGGCGAGACGACTTCAATCGCCAAAACGCAGCCAGCCGGCGGGCACTGATGGACCTGGCGGGGAGGGCACGGGCGCTGAGCCTGCACCCACTCAACGAGAAGGTGGGACACAGGGAGGGGACCTGGTGGGGATGATGCCTGGAGCCGCCCCGAGCCCACGCTGCCTTGCAGGTGTGCGGTGCGGCAGGCGATGTGCCCTGTGCCGACAGCCCCTGCGGGGGAGCTGGGTGCCGAGACGAGGACGGAGGACGGCGCTGCGGGGGTCTGAGCTGCGGTGGGGCCGTGTCCACGGCTGACAGCGCACTGGACCGGGCACGCCATGCCCAGGAGGAGCTACGGCGGGCTGCTGGCGACGTGGCCCAGCTCTCCCACAAGGTGCGTGGCACATGGGTGCTGGTGGGAGCGGCTGGCATGGCCGTGCCCGCCAGCCCTTGGGGCTGGTGCTGAGGGTCTCTGCCTCTGCTCAGGTGGCCGAGGCCAAGGGGAAGGCAGATGAAGCCCGGCTGCGGGCACAGGCAGCCCTGGACAAAGCAAACCAGACCAGGGCCCGCGTGGAGAGCTCCAACAGGGAGCTGCGGGAGCTCATCAGCCAAGTCAAGGCCTTCCTGAGCCGTGAGTGCCGGCATGCCGGGGGGGCTGGCTGCCCCTGCCCGACACTGTGTGGCTCTGCACCTGCACCACACTGCACCAACCCTGCATCGCGCTGCACTGCATGGTCCCTGCACTGCATGTGGGCTGTACCACCCTGGCACTGCACTGCGCAGCCCCTGCCCCGCGCTGCATTGCACGGTCCCTGCTGTTCCCTGACCATCCTGTGCCCCCCCAACTGTCCCCTGCCCCATGGTCCCTCCCCATGGCTCCCTCTGGCTCCCCGTGGCTCCCCCCCGCCCATCGGTCCACCCGTCCCCTCCACTCTGGGGTGCTGCAGGGGACACTGACAGCTCCCACCCGCAGAGGAGGGGGCTGACCCTGAGAGCATCGAGGTGGTAGCCAGCCGGGTGCTGGAGCTGTCGCTCCCCGCCGCGCCGGCCCAGATCCACCGCCTGGCTGAGGAGATCAAGGCACGGGTGCTCAGCCTGGCCAGCGTAGATGCCATCCTGGAGCAGACGGCTGGCGACGTGCACCGGGCTGGGCAGCTGCTGCAGAATGCCCAGCGGGCCAGGTGAGCCCAGGGACGTGGGGACGCAGCCTCCCCGGGGACCCCCAGCCCAGGCTGGCACTGAGGCTGTGCTGCCCTGGCCACAGGTCGCGGGCGGAGCGGGTGAGGGACATGGCTGAGGCAGTGCGGCAGGCACTGGAGGAGGCCCGACAAGCCCAGGGCATGGCGGAGCAGGCACTGCATCGTGCCGCCGGTGACATCCAGCACAGCGAGAGGGTCCTCGGCACGGTAAGGGTCCTGTCCGCATGTCCTCAGCCTCACAGGGATGGGCAGGGCCCCGTCCCGACCATGGGGGCATCCTGACCGTGCCCTTCCCCCATGACACCGGTCTCCAGATGCAGGACCAGACAGCGAGCGCAGAGCAGCAGCTGGCGGGTGCCATGGGGCGGATCGGGCTCCTGGACGGACAGACAGACGCCCTGAAGGTGAAGCGAGCCAACAACAGCCTGGCGGCCACACGTGCCCAGGAGGCAGCTGGTGCTGCGCGGGACCGAGCCGGGGAGGCCAAGCAGGTGGGCGAGCGGTGGGCATGGGGTGCTGATGGGGGTCCCGCGGGGCTCCCGCTGACCGGCCCCGCTGCCCAGCAGGTGCTGGAGGGGCCGCTGCGGGACCGGTACCGAACGGCGCAGGAGCTAGTGGAGCACCGGGCGCAGGGCGCACGGCAGGCGGGCAGCCGGGCGCAGCGGCTGCGGGACGAGGCCGCCGGGCTGCTGCGAGATACCCAGGGCAAGCTGCAGCGGCTGCGAGGTGAGGCCAGGGCAGGGGATCTGGAGGTGGTGGTCGGGGG